CGCAACAATTCCAACCTTGCTAAGAGTCATACCTCCACAAGCTCCAACTCATGGTACCTGACATTGGTGCCAATGCTCACATCACGCCTAATCTTGCCAGCATGGACGATTCTCGCACATACCAAGGTAATGACAATATATACATTGGTGACAGTAAGGGTTTTCCTATTATCCATATTGGTTCCTCTCGTATCTTCTCACCAAACAAAACCTTTCAACTCATAAACATCTTACACGCTCCACACATCACAAGACAACTTCTTTCGGCTCAATTTTTTTAAAGATAATAATGTCTTTTTTGAATTTCACTCTTTTTTTTTTGTCATTAAGGACATATGTACACACACTACTCTTCTCATGGGGCCCAGTGAAAATGGTCTCTACAAGCTCAAGCCTCAGTCATTCTAGTCTAAGTCTACTTCTCCCATTGCTTTCTCTGCCGCTCGTGCAGCTCTTGTCATATGGCATCGATGACTTAGACATCCTCATCAGAGTCTTTTAAATTTTATGTTTTTTTTTTTCAAATTTTCACTTCATGTTACAAAGAAGTCTGCTTCTTGTTTTTGTTCATCATGTCAGCTTGGAAAATCTTCAAAATTACATTTACATGTATCTTCTTTTCGTAGTAATAAATACTTGATTTGGTTTAGTGTGTGTAACGTCCAAAAATCCACGTATTTTTTAAGCCCTTGAAGTATTTAATTTTGACAATTGATGAGCCTCCGTACGCCGGGTGTACATGTATGTACACTTAGCATACACAAGCGCATGCATCGGGTGGCTAGGGCTCGTATGTGAGGTGTACAAGCATGTATGCAGGGCATATGAGGATGAAGGCTAAAACCCTAATTATCGGACTTGAGCTCTATTTAAGCTCATTTATGTCCTTGGGCCCTCTTCCTCACCATCATCCATTAATCTCAAACGTCTCTAAAACCTAGATATTTTTTAGAGTGATTTTTGAGCTTGAAGGTGCCAAGTGTAACTCTTTTTGGTTTGTTAGCAGGAAGAAGGAAGTGGTGATCAAGCCTTAAGCATGAGAAAGCTTTTGGATCCTGCATCTAGATCGTCTAGAGGAGCTTTTGGAGGTTAAAAGCTTCTATCTTGCTCATTCTTTTGCTAGTTTAAGTTAGGCTTTAGTAATAAGTCCATTTTTGGTCCATGGGTCCTCTCATGTGATTTTGAGCAACTCCAGAGGTTAGAAATGTTAGACCTGAGTTCCTTTTCCTTGCTAAAAGCATAAAAATGCTAACTTGAAGTTTGTTATGGCACCATGCAAGAGTTTAAGATCTTAAAGGAAGTCTTAATGGCTTAAAAGTGGTGTTGGGTTCTTATATGGCATGCAAAGGCATAAAGTTTCAAACTTTATGCCCTAGGACCTTAGAAATGACCAAGATCCGGATTTAGTAATAAGTCCATTTTTGGTCCATGGGTCCTCTCATGTGATTTTGAGCAACTCCAGAGGTTAGAAATGTTAGACCCGAGTTCCTTTTCCATGCTAAAAGCATAAAAATGCTAACTTGAAGTTTGTTATGGCACCATGCAAGAGTTTAAGATCTTAAAGGAAGTCTTTGTTGGGTTCTTATATGGCATGCAAAGGCATAAAGTTTCAAACTTTATGCCCTAGGACCTTAGAAATGACCAAGATCCGGATTTAGACGAAGCGTCTTCACTGATTAAGCACTTAATGGCTTTTATGCAATATCAACTTGTATGTTGGGCGTACTAGCTTGTATGTTGCGCGTACTAACCCAGAGCATAGTACGCTAAGTGTACTGATGATGTACGTTGGGCGTACGCTGCTAGTGGGCTTTGGGCTTTCTTTTGGCTTTCATTGGGCTTTTGAGCCATTTGGGCCCTAATTAACCTTTGACCTGGACCTATTAGAATAATTTGGCCTTGGAAATTTTTATTGGACCATTGGTAGCATGGTTGGGCCTTGTGGGCCTTGTGGCCCATTATTGTTTTGGTCCTTGGATGTTAGGCCCATTAAGGAAGAAAAGACTTTGGGACTTATTGGAGGAGTTTGGATTTAGGGTTTTAGGCCTATTTCTTGAGTTGTGACTTAATTCTAATTAGGTTAGCTTGTTTCTATTCAGTGTGAGATTTCTAAATAGGTAGCTGAGCAGTAATTCTATCAGTAGTCTGAGGTGAGTTCTCTCATTATATCAATGGGTCGAAGGTACCAATGCCAACCCATCATTTGGTGAGTGGATTGATAGTTATTATGAGTTTTTTTGTTTGAAGACCATGGGGTAGTCCGTGGCACTTGGATATCCAACCATGGGGGTAGCCCATGACATTCCAGGTAAAGACCATGGGGTAGCCCATAACAAATGGATATCCGACCATAGGGGTAGCCCATGACATTCCAGGTTAAGACCATGGGGGTAGCCCATGGCAACTATCCGTGTGTTGCATGATATTATGAGGTTGTATGCTGCGTGATATTTTGGGAAATTCACTATGCTTTTGCTTACAATTTATTTGGGTGTCTCCAGGTACTTCCGACACTAAAGGGAAGGGCCCGGCTTGATGGCACAACATTCACTCTTCAACATTTTCTGAACTTATTGATATGGATACTCTGATATGTTGTTATGACTAGATGTAATGGATTTTTAAAACAATTTATGAATAAAATTTCAATTTTAAAAATGAAAATTTTTATCTGGTTTTCAGGTTGTTACAAGTTGATACTAGAGCCTTGGTTTGAAGGACTCGGGCATACCCTCAGGCATGTCAGAACTTAAACTGAGGAATGATAATCTTTAAAAAGAAAAATAACCGAATTTTTTCTGAAAAAGGTTTTCGTAATTAAAACAGGAGATTGGGATGCGTGCAATCAATAGAGCCCAAGTAAGTGATTCCCAATTTATCCATGTTTATGTGTTATGATTAGTATGCTTGATATGTGGAATTGCATGCTAGAGTAGGGCTAAGGATACCATGAGGAGTTACGTGATAGAATTTCCTTACTTGTGTGATGCCTTATAGCCTAGGACGACTTGATGCTTGTATTACTTGAAATCAAGGTTGACTCTGTTAATTGCTAAATGTATCTTTTCAAAGTTATATACGATTAGGAGTGAACAACCCTAGAATGATGAATTATGCCTCATTTCTTGTTCCTTGTTTGATTGTGGACTTAGGGTAGAAACTTTACTTGACAGTCTATGTGGTCCTATTTGTGTATAACTTGCATGCATAAGGAAACCTGCACGTTCAACAAGCTAGGAGCATTGGTCAGTAGGATGATGTTAGTTTTAGTAGTTAGATAGTTAGTTTCAAAACTTGTAACGAAATAAATGTAATTCACTTTCGATGATTAAGTAATGGAGATTTATTTATGAGTTGGATTACTACCTTATGTCTGTTATTTATTATGTGTTTCATTTTGCATGTTTTACTTCCTGAATAATTAGACTGTTCAAACATCCACAATCGATCATACTTTTGGAAGTAAGTAGTGAATCAAGACTGTCATGAATTGACTTGTAGGTTGTCTAAAGGGTTTTAGACATAGCAAAGGTATTGCTGCAATATCCGCGAGTACTTTGAAATAGAGAATTTGAGTATTGGATTAACCTATGCTCAGAGAATTACTTCATGGAATTTATCATGAGTAATTCTGAGATGATAATATCTTATAATCTTTAAATAGAGATATATGAGTTATTGTTTACGAGTTGGTTGTGCATTGATGATACATAAACGCATCGGTAGCTTAATGTTATAAAATGTATTGTTGTGATGATACATATAAGTCAAAGTTTATCTGTTCCTTTTTACCCTTAGGGGGAAGCGATATCTTTAGGCCCCTCGATGATTTGGTGTTGACTGATAGTGTCGGGCCCGAACAAGACTAAATTGATGTGTTCGATTAGTAGTTCTTTGTCATTATGAATCTGAGACCGGGAAACAAAGTATTGGACAATGAGGTTGATTATGTTACATGTCTCATGTTCACATGATATCTTGTAGAACTAAGGATTATATGATCACTTATCTTAGGACATGTATCTGACTAAGTTAGAGTTCATCATCGACTTTTGAGAGCTACAATTTGCTAATCAGTTTTGAATTTATACTGGAAACTATAGTTATTAGACTTATCTAATTGGGAGACTGTTGGATTAGGTGTCTAAGCCCATAACTATAATTGGTATATACTTTAATTGGTAATAGCATAGTCATTTTGGGTTGCCCTAAAAAACTAGCAACTAGACAGGATGAATGGATGGTTTTGGAGAAAGATGTTGATTTATTATTTGATTAATAAATTGAAATTAATAACTTATTAATATATTATGAAAATAATATATTAATTAGAAATCGTAATATTTAATTAAGATTTAATCAGAAAATAATTGGAATTAATTTGGGGATTAAATGAATTAATTATGTGCAGGGACTGAAGTGCAATTGTTCAATAGTTGAGTAAGAGACAATCTAGAACCCTCCATGAAGGCATGGATGGTTTCTTTATGCTTAAGAAGTTATAGAATAGTCTTTGGTGGATAAACATGAAAGTGGATAATTGTCCGGTTTAAGATTATCTTGGATTAAGGTTTATCTAAGGTTTCTTGACTGCACTATATAAACAGCCTAAACCCTTGAAATTCCGGCTATCTGTTCTTTGGAAGACCTAGTTGAAAATTTGAACCTCTCTCTTCCTTCTCAATCATCTTCTATTGCTAGTTTTGAGTGTGAACCACTAGAGGCGTGACACTTGTGACGCTTGCTCTCAAGGCTTCACCAACACAAGGATTTGCATTGTTATTACTATATAACAATCAAGGTATGAATATTCTTACCCTAATTGTGTGTTTCGATTATACACTAGTATGCTAAGGTTTTTCAGTTTGTTGTTAAAGTTGTATGTTCAATTAGAAAAAATGTAGATCAAAATTTTTAGGGTTGCATGCACACATAGGATTATATGTTTTGCATAATACCCATCAACGGCTCCAGACGACAAGGAGTAAGCTCAGAGCATTAGTACCTGAACCAAACGCTAGCTCTGACATAAAAAGGAGCACGATTGGCCAATCAACGCGTCTGATCCTGTCGGGTCTGACGCCCTTGTCCCATGTACGGACTAGCAGGAAAACTCAGTATAAAAGGTCTCCTCTGTCATCCAGGAAAGTAAGTTATTTCTCTCAGACTCTTATACTCACTCCTAGATAATCCACCGAGTTGACCGTCGGAGCGTTTTTTCGAGATCCATCTTGAAGAACGGTTGACGACCCTTTTTCCTGTTGTGATCTCGCAAACCATAGCGTAGCAGAAAACACCTTCAACCAAGAGTGTCAGAACGAGGTCGCATCACATACATATATAACTGCTTCATCTAGGCTTTTCATCGAATACATGGAGTGTAGGTTTGGTGACACAATCGCACTTGATCAAGAACAAAATCAAACCTGAGCATTTGAAGGAAGAGGAGATGGCATTTGATAAGTTTGAACACATTCGGTAATAAGTATCAACAAGTTCACATAAGCAATTCAATAAACAACAACAAAATTGGAGAGATGGAAAATAAGAATAGGGTTGAAGTCGATTACCTTATGTGTTATGTGTGAATGCGACAACAGAGGAAAATGATGTGCGCTGGGATCGTAAGTATAAGAGCCTATGAACTCATGCCTATGGAGGACTGGAGGCTGAAATTGCAATCATGATTGAGATGGAGTATTAGGCAAACGTGATCTCAACACGTAGTATCAAGGGGCAATATTGTCCATTTAAAATGGTTTTTTAGTTTTAAAGATTGTAAAATGGTAAAAGAGATTATAAATCAATAAAAAAAATAGATTTTGGTATATATGAAATTAAAAAACATTAAGAAGGGTAAATACAATATTTAGAGTTTAGACTGGACAAATACGATATTTAACTATTTAATAAAGCTATATATGAAATTCTACCAATGAATAAATAGACGATAAGGGTTTATTGCAATGGTTTATGAAAAAAAAAAGTTTATCCTTCTCTTCCAAATAGGAATGAAAAATTTGGAATAAAATAAAAAAATCCACTCTATTTCTCCATCTTTCTCTCAAAGATAAACTTCAGTAATTTAGGTGAACGGTTTAGCAACATTTACGACGCTCATCCTCAAATTTCAAAACCAAGTATGAAAAAGAGTAGTTTAATATGGGATCATTGGTGCTTTAGTCTTTTTTTTTTTTTTTTTTGAACACCAAATATAAATATAAATATATACTAAACTACTTGTAAATAATTTCATCTATGTACAGAATAGGACTTGAACTCTTGATCTCAAAGTGGGAAAACATTGGATATCACTAGATTAGAAGCCATTTAGGGGGTGTTTGGGGTATCTTTTCAAAAGGCAAAAGAATTTTTGGGAAAAGTTCCAAAAAGTCACGTTTCCCTAACTTTTTCAAAAAGTCAGTTTTCACTCTTTAAAAAATCCAAAAGGAGCTTTCAAGAAGCTTTCCCAAACATCTTTTTCATGTTATCTTTTCCCAAAAGTTTTTTTCCCTCTTAAAAAGATATCCCAAACACCCCCTTAATGGTGCTTTAAATGTGTAACTATTTTGAGTGTTTAAAAAATTAATTGAACCGTGTGCAAAAAGTAAGCTGACCTAATACCCTATTGTAAGTATCTATCTGCTTTACTTATAAATTTATATCTATATATAAAAACCTTTAAGACACCAATAATGTATTAGAAAGTCGAAATGTTATTTATTGAGAATGAAAGCCGTTGCATAAACAATGATGTAATCCTACCTATGTTCATTTAGCCTTGTCAAAAATACCCGTTACTCGAATTACCCACCCAATTTTTTTGGGTATCTGGTAGATCAGGTATCAGGTTAATTTTTTCGAGTAAGTAGGTAACCGGAATTTTTTTCGGGTCGGGTAAAGGGTAAGTTGTTTGGGTTTTGGATATACCCGATTACCCGAAATATATATATATATATATATAACAAATAATATCCCTTTATGAGTTTATCTGTCCCTCCCAATTCTCAAATCCCAATTTTCCTCGTTAAGGCTCATTCTATTTTCCCCAGGTCAAAAAAACCCCATACATCGTCCGCTCTTCATTAGTATTCGTCACCAATTGATGACTATATTGAAGTAGAAGATGAGACGATTGAAGTTACAACCCAATCAATGATCAAGTTCCACAAGAAAAAAAAGAAAAAAATAAACAATTCAACCAAAGATCGAAAGTTTGGAAAGAATATTTAATATCTCAATAATTATTGAGTAAAAAATCTCATGTTCAAAGTTTAGCACCTGACATATTTGTTTCATTACATTTATTTTTAGATGCTATTAAAAAAATATAAAAAAAAATTAAAAATCAGGTAATACCCGAATTAACCTTACCCAACCCATTACCCGAATTATCCGAATTTAATTTGGGTAGGATAACGGGTAAATTTTTTAATATGAAAAACCTGAATTACCCGAAACTCGAAAATTTTACTCGATCAACACTCCTATGTTCATGGAAGGCTGTATTTTTCTTATTTTAATCGGTGCAAAAGAGTTGACATTTCAAATTCAACCGACTTATTTGGTATCATTAAAGTTGTTAAAAATATATTCCATAGAATAACAATTAATGTTGCCAAATTCCATAGTGGCAATACCGATAACATTTTACATACATTCACTTGTAAACAAAGATTGAAGCATGTTGGATTCGAACTGATCAACAATAGGCCACATTGATCAGCCACCACAAGTGCAAATCGTTAAAGAAACGCACCATATATTATTTCTATTAAGTCGTTCTTTCGACATTACTTATTAAAAATAACATATATAGGTTTCATGATTTCGTTTTTTGTCCACATTAAGTTTATTAAGTCCAGAAAAAAAACATCAACTAAGACAAAGATCATGATAAAATAAGCCTGATTGAAACCATTGAGGTAGTAGTACACTGCCTCATATATCTCTCTATCAAGAAAACCAAAACTATAATCTAAAATTTACAATACTACGCAAACCCTTGAGACGTGTCTATCGAGTCTAAACCCCATCATAAAATAAAATAAAAATAAAAATAAAAAACTATTATGTTATGTTATGTACCGTGCTTATCTGGAGGGTGTTTCTGATGGTTGACTATTCAAAGCAGAATTTGAAGGATTAGAAGAAGGTAATGGTAAAGGTAAAGCCGCATTATTATCCTGAGACGTTGATCCACCCCACTTTGGATCTGCATCAGCTGGCTCGATGACGTGGACAGATCCATCGCTCATTCCCAGAGCAAATTGGTTTGGATCCGACGGATGTGATGCAATCACTGCTGGATACGCCGTGCTATTGCTTCTGCCAAAATTAGGTTATAAATTAACAAATGGCAGTTTATTCATTTTATAATGTTTATAGAGAAATACCTGGAAATTGAAGAGGATATGTAGGCGGAAGGTGCTATACGACATCGAAGCCTTAAATTGTCTGCATCAAAAACTCCAACAGCACCATCGGAAAATCCAGTGTATAATAGCATCCCATCGCATGAATATATTGCACTTGAAATTGCAGCAGAAAGAGATTCTCTTGGAGACCACTGTAAATAAATAAAAATTGAGCATGTGAATTCTCACAATTATCCATGGAATCTTACAATCAAAAAGATATTCTGAATATATACCAATTTCAAGCATTCGAGTTGGTGATCATAAATAGCAATTTGGCTTTCATGTACAACAAGGAGATGGCGTTGATCATTATGGAACTGAACTTTGGTTTCTCCAACGAGTGAGGAGGGATGTCCAGGTGGCGACTGTATGTTTCTTGATTTCCTCTTCTCCCATCCATTAATATTCCAGATACATAGCTGCAATCAATTCAAAACATAATAATAAATAAATAAATTAACTCAGTATTATTTTAGACTGCATGTTTATCTAACAAACACGAAAACAGAGATTTGAACTCTAATTTTTTTAATCACCACTACTTGCCTGAGCATCAGCTCCAGATGAAACGAGTGCATTTAAAGTCTGTGAAAAAGCAAGTCCTGTAATTGGTTTCTGGTGACCTTTCAGCTTCATTTTGACCTATTAAAAACCATCAGGGTTAAGAATGTAAGATAATAACCAGATTAGAAGTTGTGAAGCTTGCCACTAAAAGCAAGAGCAATTACCTCATCAACTCTAACATTGTAAATTTGAATGGTGGAATCCTCCATTCCTATAGCAATGATATTGTTGTCTTGAGGATGAAAAGCCAAGTAGGTGGCAGCAGGTGGTGGGGGCATGAAAGTTGTCATGACCTGCAGTCAGTCAGTTTAGCCACCTCAGTAAACTGTCTTTTGATTTTATTATGACATTGTACTTTGAAAATATGCTTTGTAGTTTGTATTTGAATGATATTGATATAGTTGGGTGATTGTTCCAAGTACAATGTTGTACAAGAAGAAATGAAAGCAGGATACTATAATAAACAAATAAATGAAAGTACATTGCTATTTCTTGAATACAAACCTTAAAAGTCATCATGTTGAACAAGGAGACTTTCCCACCAGAGGCAGACATGACATAAGAATCATTCTTTGACAAAGCAATGCATGCTGCAGACTCTTCAGCAGATTTACTCTCATTCACATCATTAGACATGAGAGCTCCATTTGTTGGTTGCCATAGTTGTGGGACAATAGATGCAGTCGACTGAATGTGTACAGAACTCAGTAAATGCAGAAATATGTTAATTCTTGAGAAATGTTGATGGGGTGGGGTGGGGCCCACATACCTTCCCAGATGGATTGCGTTCACTTCGTTGCCATTTCCAGAGCTTATGAATGGCATTTGAAGCAAGTGCAAGCAAAGATAACCCAGAATTTGTATAGATCAGCCTCATAACCTAAAATAAACACAATTGGAACTAGAGATAACAATTGATAACTTGATAAAATTCTACAAAGAATTAATAAACATAACAAGTTTCAGAACAAACCTTGCTGGCAGCTGTTGGATCAGGCAACCTTAGGGCTTTAAGGTGAGAGGAATCAACAATATCAGGGAGCTTCCAGCTTGTAGCTTTGTCAGCACCCTCCACAATTCTTGGTTTAATATCCACAACTTTACTGCTTTCAGCATTAGCCTAAATTGTACACATACAATAGAACATAAGGTGACAAAAGATATAGAACAATTGTTAAAGTAAAAGGGAATAATAACTTACAAGATTTCCAATGGATAATGGAGTTTGCATTCTATCACGTTCTATAGCAGTTACCATAGATGAAGACGCGTTAGGGATCGAACCTAATGGGCCAGTGATTGAAGGCTACAAAGGGGAGGGGTATTAGATATTCATGAGAAAAATATTGACTACTAAATATTAGATAAATGAGGTCAAGAAATTTACTTTGACTGAATCAGAAAGTGCCCGGGTCCGCTCATACGCTTGACTCTCCAGCATCCTTACCATGCGCTGCCCATCATTATTTGCCAATATTATAAATCCATTATCACTTGTGGAGACTGCCAGTAATGACCCTTCCTTGTTAAATCTTAATCTAGGCCTTGCCTGAAACAGTTTAAACAAGCAAGAGGGCATTTACGTCTTTTGCACAAATGGGGACTAAGGGATTATAAAATATGGTGTTAGTGAAATGGAAGTGGAATCGTATGCTTACAGGTAAACCATTGTTTGGACCAGTGGCTGTTAGCATATCATTATTATCCATGTCCCAAAACTTAATCTGAAACTCATCTCCAGCAGCTAAAAAACGGTTTTTTGTTGTGTCAAATTGTACAACTCCCATAGAACGTTTTTTGAAACCAGAATATTCCCTCTTGATAGCTCCTTCACTCTCGTTCCACTCAACTAAATGGGCTTCACCTTCTTTACTTGTTCCACAAGAAAACAATCTGAAACAATATCATGTGTCATATACTCATATACTCATATAATTAAATATTTTAATCATATTATGCATATTTAAGTTAAGTATATAACCTAGTTCCATCAGTGCTATATGCCATTGTTGTGCACCAAAGACCAGGGGCATCATAATCTACCCTTGACCCCAAGCAATCATACAGCCATGCTTTGATTTTCCCATCAATTGCTGTTGAGAATATAAACTACACAAAACAAGGGAAAAATTAATGCTTTTTTATGTTATGTAATGTTCGTTAAATCTCAGGGAAAAAAAGAATAAAGAAACAAAAGGAAACTTGCCTGTATTTGTTCTTTAGAGTGAGGACATACAGAATAAACAGGAGCCTCGTGACCTTCAAACATATATAACCTCCTTCCACCTACAGCATCCCATACCTATTACAAAATATGTAAGAGCTTATTATATGCGTGAAAAGAACAAGAAAAAATATATATATTTCTTGATAAAATTTGTGTACCTTAATTGTCTTGTCATCGCCACATGTGACAATACACATTTGCTTATTGGGTTGAGCAAAAGCAATATCATTTACACCACCAACATGTGCATCTATCTGTAATGTGAAAGATTCATAAAAAAAATTAGGAATCAAAAGAGAAAGAAAGAAAAACATAAAGATGGAGGATTGGGTTTACTTCCAAATGTTGTCTTAATTCCCCTGATTGGTTATATGTATATATCTGAACAATGTGCTTGGAAAAGGCAACACCTATGGTAGGAAATTAAAAAATCAATACACTCACACAAAATTATTAAAAGTTAATTTAGAAATTTTATAAATTATACCGAGTATTGATCCATCTGGTCCCCATATGCAACGGTTAACAGATACTGCTGCATCCTTTACTAAAGTTGTCTGGAGATGGATTTAATCATGATTCATGTTAAAGTTAAGCCAATATACAAAATATTTAAAAAATGAAAGAATAAGTAATAGAAGCTTACCTGAAAAGGCATTGAACAAGCAGATAAATCCCAAACCTTGAAGGGTTTATGCACCATTCTCTCTCGAGTTCCAATCTCCCAAATGCTTATTTCACCAACATTTGTTCCAGCTGAAAGCCATGAACAATCTCATTACCTCTTTTTTTTAAGGAAGGAGGATACAGAAGATTAAATCAATTTGAGAAATTGTTAGGGATTGAAGCAAATAGACTGAGGATTAATTAACCTAAGAGAATAGTTTGTTGTTGAGGATGGAAGTCCATTGACATGACATTTGAACCCTGGTTAAGTAACCTAACCACAGTTTTTGGAAGATCATCCAGTGAGTATGAATTCGGAGGATGAGTTGAACCAGAAAAGGACACCTATTCAACATATATTAGATAATGTCAGATTGTCAGTTCTGAAGGAATTATAACAAAGATTAAACCAAAAAAGAAAATTCTTTTTTCTTCATTTTTGGTCCCTATTTCGAGTCTCGTTTCAGTAATTTGGTTTTGTAAAATGGTCATTTTACAAACCCTTGTAAAATGACCATTTTGCCCCTACTTTTATAACTAGAGTAAACTGCAAATTTGGCCCCTTTGGTTAGTGATTTTCTTTGGTTTAGCTCCAAAAAGGGATCTTTTTTTTTTACATTTTTGGTCCCTATTTCAACGTCTTATTTCAGTTTTGCTCCTCTCTCTCATCCCGTGAGTTGAAGTCCGTTAGATCCATGTAAAATGACCATTTCACCCTTACATTTATATTTGTTAATAACAGTTTATAAAAAACATACAAGAGTAAGCACAAAGTGATCATTTTACAAGGTTTAAAGGACTTCAACTCAGAGTGCGAGGGTGGAGGACCAAAACCGAAATGAAACCTCAAAATAAGGACAAAACATGAAGAAAAAAATGACCATTTTACCCTTACATTTATATTTGTTAATAACAGCTTATAAAAAACATATAAGAGTAAGCACAAAGCAATCATTTTACAAGGTTTAACAACTCAAAGTGCGAGTGTGAAGGACCAAGACCAAAATGAAACATCAAAATAAGGACAAAACATGAAGAAAAAAAATGACCATTTTACCCTTACATTTATATTTGTTAATAACAGCTTATAAAAAACATAAGAGCAAGCACAAAGTGATTCATTTTACAAGGTTTAAAGAACTCCAACTCAAAGTGCAAGTGTGAAGGACCAAAACCAAAATGAAACCTTGAAATAAGGACCAAAAAAAAAACTTTCTAACCCTAAAACAGTGGCACCATGAAAGTTTAATGGCTGATATGCAAGGCATACCTCATCAGATGGGCCCACACGTGCACGTTTCATTAAGTGCTCCGATTCAGCCATTTGATATTCCAATCCAGGACCACCACCTGGAGGAGTCCGTGGATGCTTCAGGAATGCAGCTGCACATATAAATCAAAACATCAATTTTTTTCCAATTTAATTTATATCAATAAATAACAATAATTAAATTAAAATCTGAAACAAAATTCAAACCACACCTGTAACTGGAGGCTGCTGCTGCTGCTGCACAAGGCCAGGAGGTCCAGCTTGAACACCAGGTTGAGGCATGGAAAGATTAGCAGTTGCCATCCATCCAGCAGAAGGAGAAACAATAGGCTGAAAAGGCTGTATAGACGAAGTATGTCTTGACTCTTAATTTATTGTAGATTATATAAATGTTAACATTATGATTTAAGACAGGATCTTAAATTTAAATTTTTAATTACACTTACACCATGTGCTCCAATTGGAGGAAATACTCCAGCTTTAGGAACAGGTCCAGAAAGAGAACTGTTGGTAGGGGGAGGTGCCCTACCTCCATTGTTAGAAGCACATGTGTGATCGATAAAAAGAGTTTTGATATCAGGATTAGGGCGTGGATTCTTGCAAAGTTGATGTTGCCAATTAAGACTGAAAAAGAAGAGCGTATAAGAAAACTTATAAGTAAGAACAGTGTATGGAAAAACAAGAGAAAGTAGAGAAAGAATGGTGTTCATGTTAATGGGCCTAAGGGTTTGTTTCCTTTTGACTTAATCTAGATAGAATGACTTAATGAGTTAAGCCAAAAAAAAAAAACATGAGTTAGTGTGTTAAGACACTAAGAAGTTAACTATTTTTTTTTCTTCTCTTTTCCTCCCAACTCTGCTAATGTTATAACTGATGACTACTGTGAATTTTGTTTTTTGGAATGTAAGGGTAAAATGGTTATTTAGTCTAGAAAAGAAACAGTTATTATATATACAAAACTTTATCCCTAGACTTAATGGAGTAAAAAGATAAAACAGCTCCTAAGAGTAACCATTCGTTAGTACACCTTTTATTTTTTATACTAAAAGAAAGACCAATTTGATTTGATAACAAAAAGAAAAAACACACAATGAAGAAAAGGGGCCCACAAATGGTAACACAAAGTAGCAATATTTAAGAATGCAGAGGGCTCAGGACCTTTGATTTATCAATGTACGCAATCTTGAAGCTTTAAATACAGGAAGAGTTAGCTTCTCTCTAAACAAAGGATTTGCTTCTATAAGCTTTTTCAGTTCAACCAACATAATGCTTCTTGCTGATTTGGTATCCCCATACTTTGAAAGCTGCTCATTCTGCCTAAATAAACATCACAAAAGCAATAGTGTCAACTAAAAAGTAAAACTAACACTTACAAAACTCCATAGTCAATGTTCATAACAATACCTAAAATTATCAAGAGTTAGTAGCTGTGTGATCTCTTTGAAGAGCTCTTCATTAAAAGTCGAAAAGACCTTCAAATCTTTTACAAGAATTTCAACAGCTTTTGCTCTGTCATTCCTGATATTAGCAACTCAAATGTCAATAAAAAGAGTAAAATGGTGTGAGATATAAATATAATAAATATTAGGCTCTTGCCTATCAAGAGCTTCAAGGTACTTTTGTTTCCTTATTTCAAAGAATATCTTCATTGAGTAACGATTATCTTCAACCTTTGTAAACCCACATAGATATTTCTCAACCTCATCCCATTCACCAGCTTGAACTTGTTCCTCAAAATATTTCATATTGAAGAAAAAAGCAGATTCTTGTTCCAACCTATAAACATACATAAGAAAGTTAATACAATATAGAAAATGAGATGAATGCAAGAAATAGCAATGAACTTCCATTTATTTGATTATTAAAAAGCATCTTACTTTCATTTCCTTTTATTACATCATTATATGTTTACTTTCTCTCTTATGAGGCCATTGTACTTTGAAAAATCTACCCAATTGTAGCAGTGAAATTGCTTAGTAGTTGAACAGCATTGATATAATTTGGTAAACTTTTGGAAGCGTAATATTGTAATAGACAGATGTACAAAAACAAATTGCTATTTCTTGCATTTAACCCTCTAGAGAAATACACTCACTTGTGGACAGTTTCTTTGAACTTTTCCTCATCCAGGAATTGCAGGATTAGGAAAACTAATTCCCGACTTAAGGATGACATGGCTCCTGCTGCAGGCACCCCCAACCACTCCAGTGCAAATCTTGGTTATAACCACAAAAACTTATGAATAATGAATCGATTCCAAAAATCAACACCTTCTAATCTCTAATTTATAACATCAGTGTCTTCAATGAAATATCTTTGTGCAAACTTTCACAATTTCAAGAACATTGCATTTTTGCATACAGTATTCTGCAAAAAAAAAGGCATTCCAAGTCAAAAACTGCAAAATATGGCAGAATGTAGTCATGTACAACCTCACAACAGCTGAATCATACAATCCACTTCCCTGATTTCTTGATTTCCCAAACAAACTCCAATTACGACAATAAAAAGGAGAGTTTATCAAAAACAGGTCCGATTAAGCTCAAATTGGCGCAATATCTCAAACAGATGAGTAACATTTCAAAATTCTATAAAGGGCTCTCTAATCATAAGGCACGACGTAGTAGGGGAATAAAAGACGAAGGTCGTATTCATCATACAGCCTCCATTGAACTTCAGAGTGTTCTATTTCAACAAAACAGATTTTATGATTAAGACTAAAGAAAAATCATCAACCATAACTGATATCGTTCTTCTACAAGTTATCTCTAATTCACAACAACCCTCAGGATGAACTTAGTATAGATCGAAACCACACAAAGCCGATTCATACACACATCGAAACAAAACAAATTAATCAAAAGCTTACTCGTGAGGCAAAATAAAAAGTTCAAAACTAGGGTTTCTTCAACAACGGCAAGTTCCTCAGTCTTTCTGCAAAAACCGCAAAGTCACAGCACGTCCTGCTTTCTACTCTCTCTACACACACGTATATATGTCGCTCTAACTTTTTCTCACTATGTTTTCTGTCCCCCTTTTATATAGGTGGAGGTGTTTCGTACATTTCTCTCTCCTCTACCGCCACTACTTCTGTCTTAATCACCGGAGTTTGATAAAGCGACGGGACTGTGTGGATGTAGTGGGAGACAGAGTCGTGGGGCATGATTGCGTGTCAAATGGTGATTGCCTGTCACGGAATCATATGGTGAACTGCAGGTTAAGGTTTGAGGAGAGATTAATTGGAAGGGATCTTTTGTTATATTTTTGGTGGTGATTTTCAATACTTTTGTCACTTTCTTACCTTTTTTAGGTTTTGTATTAATTTTTGACAAAATTACTCTATGTTTTTTAGGATTTGTAATTATTCGTTCTTAACTTCTTTTTGTTATACTAATGGTCCATGGGTTTGGATTCGCAATTTTCTCTCTACCTTTTACCCTCTTTTATTTTTTTTTACATTCCTTTTAACTAAAAATTAGTTTAAAAATATCACTCATATAATAGCGCTCACATTTTTTTTTGGCTAACTCTTACACTTGAATTTGAAAATCTGACTGTCCTCCACTTCTTTGTCTCCCTTTCTCTCTCCCCTTTCTCCCTTTCCCTTATGTTTCATGAAAACCCTTTTAAACCTCTAATACCTATCAATGATACTAGTAGTGTACCCGCACGATGCGGGAATGCCAATTAGTTCCTTCGGTAAATAATTTTTTTTGTGGCGATCAGTTTTCCTTCTCGTGTCGGATAGTTTATTTTAGCTTTTTGAACGATTCTTTTTCGGCAAGTAGTTTTTTATTGATACGTTGTTTCGGGATAAAAAGATAAATAAGTTGTTAATTTTCAATGTTGCAAGCATTTTGCGAATGCAGTATGAGTTGTTTTTTTCTGTGAATAGTATCATTTCGATGATTATGGTTTAGAACATGGGTAATTTATTTAATTCCTGTTAAAATCCTTCATAATTATACCATTATGTTGGAATGGAAGGACACTCTTTAAATCACCATCAACATATTTCAATTTTAACCACTAACGTGTTCCACCTTAACTTAAACCACAAATATCTTACAAGAGTCACATATTCTAAGTTATTTAACAATAATTATACCATTGTATTTTTGTCTTGATTCTACCATGGTCCAAATTGGAGGTTTTAACTGTTGGATTAATGTTTAAGTCCATAATTATATTTGGTATGTATTTGACACGACCCGACATGATCCATTTGGGTTGCACTTTACCGACACAATTTATATGGATAGTCTTTTGAGAATAGTATATTTATGATTTATATTAATATATTATAAGTTCTAATATATTAATATATAATCATATTATTTAATTAGTATTGATCAATAATTAATTAAGTGATCAAAATGAACTAATTAAATATGGACTCTTAGATATATATGTGTAGTGGGCCAAGTTCATTTAGGTTTAAGGATGTTATTCGGGTCGGAACCGAACCGACCCGAATAAACTGAAAACCGAATAAGGGTAATTGTATGAACCGAAAACCAAACCAAATAAGCAATACGGGTTCGGTTCGGTTCGGTTTCGACCCGAATAACCCAAATAACATGTACAAGATGATTAATGAGTCGAATAACCCGAATAACCGGAATAACCCGAGTAACCCGATTATTTTGTATTACTTTTGTAGCTTATGATTTCATAACAAATCTTGTAAAGAAACAAATTAAACACTAAAAATTAAACATTCAAAACACCCAAAAATATATCTATAAGTATATAACCCGAATAACTTCATCAATATGGAATGAAACAAGTAAAAGAACATATATGGTTGTTTTCATTAAATTCTCTTATTCAAAGTCAAAGTCCCCATTGCTTGGACTTATAGAAAAAAAGTTAACTGTTAACATAGCACATTCAAATTTCAATTGATAACATACGTAATAACACATTTAAAGATTGAGTAGCTGATTAACACATCCAATTTTCAATAAGTAACATACATAATAACACATTGAAAGATTGATTAGTAGATTAAGATACAAATTCTTACTTGTGTTTCTTGACTTGGGACCTAATTTTCCATGAATTAAATGGAGTAGAAACTAGAAAACAAGATGAGGAGATGATTCACAGAAGTTTGAAGTACGAAAGTCGATCAAAAACTAATGTCGAAGGAGCAATTGTCGATAAAAAAATTGTCAGAAGGAGCAATTCGCAATCAGCAACTGTCGATCAAACAAAATTGTCGCAATCATCAATATGGAAGTAGTCGACTCGATTTAGTGTAATAGAATATTCGATTGGGTGTATTAAGTGGGTAACGATCTTCGATTTGGTTTTTTTGGGATCAATTGTGATGATCACAAAACCAAATACGTAAATTGTGCAAGGGAAAAAAACGACTCTTCATATTCAGTTCGGTTCTTTGGACCGAATAAGCCCTTATTCGGGTAACCCGGACCGAATAACCCGAAAACCGAATAAGCCTTATATAGATACTCGAAAACCGAATCAAATTGCTTATTCGAGTCTAATTCGGTTCGGTTCGGGTTTTCGGGCCAAATTCTCATCCCTATTTAGGTTGGGCTAAGTCTTCGTGGATAGTCCATGGAGCTTTAACACATGGATCCTAGGAAATGAAAGGTCATGGGTATTAGGGTTTAACCTTAGTCTCCACACTATATAAAAATATCCTTGGTTGGTGAAATTGGCACTAGTGTGGGTACACTAAGAGGGCTAGCCGATTTCACTAGAGAGAACAAAAGTATTCTTATTCTCAAAGTCTTCTAAGGTGTTTTGTTGATTTGTGATTCCACTTGAGGCTTCCACACTATTGGGGCTAAGCTCTTAAAGCTTGAAGACATCAAGCTACACCAAAAGGTATGTCATCTAATTAGTCTTTGCAGTATAGTTGCCTCATAGTATGCTAGTTAGGATTAAAGCCTTGGAAAGCTCTTATTTGCATGTATAATAGAGATAACATAGATCCAAGGTTTATAGGGTTGCATGTACACCATAGGAGTGTTAGAATGCTCAAAACCCAACAGTGGTATCAGAGCCTAGGCTTGTTTTCTTGTAATACTTGCTTAAACTGCTTAAAAATCGAATTTTGGTGTTGTCTGCACAGTAGACTCGCCGAGTCCACTGATGGACTCGCCGAGTCCAAGGCAAAAAGCATCCAACTCGTCGAGTTTGTTCATACACTCGACGAGTTGGACCCCTGGACAACATATATTCGACTGCTTTGGCTGGAATTGGACTAGGAACATTACCCTAAGTTGTTTTGGACTTATAAACTTATTTTTGATGTGGTAATGTTCATACTAATCCAATTTCAAAGATAATTGTCAATAGATTCATGTTTTGTATTAGTTTAAGTGTTATGTTAATTACATGAAAATGTTTGATTCCAATTATCTTGTTCATATGAGTTGCTTAGATTAATAGAAAATGTTGATTGATTATATGTCTTTGATCCATTTTAATCTAAGAGTTGATTCTAAAATGTGTTTGTGTAACTTGTCCTCAAGTTACATGAAAAGTCACATTAAAGTCTCTTAAAACACATGAACTTCCAGAACAATGGTTTAGTCCAGAACATTGGGTCACTCATCGGGATCCCCCCTAAAAACTTTCCACACTCAACTGGGTCCGTATGACCCTCAACTGATATGGGATAGAAACCTTGGAGAATAGACTCATCGAGTTGGTCACATCCTCTCACTAAATCTTCGATTTATGTACAACCCTTGATCAAAAGATAGATCTATGCTTCTACAATCGATCTAGCATGTAAAGTTACAACCTTTACGTGCTTGCATGGGACGTTGAGCTCAAAAGGTCCTAAAACAATCTCTTACAATGCATGGGGCCTTCTTTAAGTGCAAGAGCCACTCCTTTCTGCCTTATAACCCTTTTAAGGGCCTATATCTGAAACATTAACCCCTAACAACGCTTGCAATCATGGTTGGTGACCAAAATGGCTTAGAAAAACCCTAAAACTCCACAAAATGGGATCTATCAAAAGAACAAACAAGCTATAGACTTTATACCTTCTATAGACTGTAAATGATGCTCAAAATCGGATCCTTCTAGCCTCCTCTTGATCCTTCAAGCTTTTCCTTCCTTCCTTGGGTTACAAAAGCACCAAAATCACTCCAAGTGCCTTAGATTGCTTCAATAACGGCTAGGGTTTG